GAGCGGGTAGCCAAGACGCGAAAGGATGGTGGCGGCGAGCCAATCCCGTCCCTTCTCAACCCGCGTAAGTACTGGACTCCAGACCACATGAGGAAACCTCCTAAGTCCGGCCGTCGAACAAGAAAGAAGAGGACAAGTAAGAAGAACGCCGTCCAAGAACACTCGGGGAAGTACGATGTGGTTTCTTCCCTCGCGAACGCCCCCTCTGGTTTGACATTCGGTCAGCTGATTCGAGGAGATGGCGACGAGGCTAAGAAAGAGATCCGTCGTTTGTTCAACAGTCGCCCTAGACGCCCCGTAGCTGCTTCGATTGGTACTTTGCCGAAACGTCTGAAAGTGGTTTCGGTACAAGTCTACGGGACACAAATGAGAGCGTTGTTAGACTCAGGAGCTATCCCTAACGTTATGAATGCGTCTGTGGCATCGAAGCTCTCTCTGTCTCCAAAGCCGACCTCGACGAAGATTACGGTCGCCAATGGACAAAAGACAACCTGCTTAGGTTCCATCGAGGAAGTTCCTGTCACGTTCAATGGCGCTGTTACTTCACTCAACTTCTTGGTTGTTGAAGGATCCCCAGTTGATATCTTAATCGGGTATCCAACTCTCGAAGAACTTCAAGCCTGCATCGATCTAGGTCACCAGTCTGTTAGTATGTTGATCGGAAACAAAACCGTGAAAAGGAGTCTGGAGTTTGATCAAGTAAGTCCTATCGTCGCGGACTCGGAGACTGATAGTGAGGACTTCACTTCTGATGTCAAGTCGTTCGCCTCAGAAAACTCGTCGGAAGAAGAGACTTATGTTGTCGCCCTCCTCGGCGATGAACCTTTCGAGCTAGACTTAACTCTGGACGGAGCGATCGGAGAAGATAAGGACGTAGAATCCCCTGATTCGAATGTCATCAACAAGGCTGTGAAAATGCTTTGGGAAAAAGGTGTGCATCTTGACAATGAAGCTCAAACAGTCATCGAGACCGCCCTGATGGGTAAGAGTATCGTTGCTACATCCCTTGACGACCTTCGGCCTGGTGAAGTCCCAATCAAGCACCATTTCGAGTTAGATGATACTAATCCGATCTATCACTCGGCGAGGAGAATGGCTCCCTTGCATAACGAAATCGTTCAGAAAGAGCTGGACAAAATTCTGGAAGCAGGAATCGTCACGCCTTCCAGCGCCGCATGGTCCTTTCCGGTCGTCATCGTATCCAAAAAAGATGAGAATCCACGCTTCTGTGTTGATTACCGTTCTCTGAACCAGAAGATGAAAGCAGACAGATGGCCTTTGCCGAAAATGGAAGAGATATTTGATGACTTGGAAGGAAGTGCGTACTTCAGTTCTCTGGATTTGTTCAGTGGTTACTGGCAAATTCGGGTGGCACAACAATGCAAAGAAATGACTACTTTCGTCTGTCGCTACGGGACGTATAAGTTCGAAGTCATGCCCTTTGGATTGATGAATGCGCCTTCGACATTTCAGAGAATGATAGATACAATCTTTCGCGGAGTGCGGTTTGTGCGTGTGTACCTCGATGACGTTGTGGTGTTCTCTAAGACTGTAGAAGAACATCTTCGGCACCTGCAGCATGTATTTGATGTGCTTGACGAGGCTGGTCTTAAGCTTAAGCTGACAAAGTGTAGCTTCGCCCTGGCGAAGATCAAGTTGCTCAGTCATGTTGTCGACAAAGGCGGGATTGCTGTTGACCCGAGCAAGGTCGAAGTAATTCGGAATGCACCGATCCCGACCACTACGACTGAACTTAGGAGCTTTCTCGGGTTAGCAAGCTACTACCGTCGTTTCATCTGCAAGTTTGCGGACATTGCTGCGGTACTCCATGCGGCTACATCCGGAAACGGCAGATTGAAATGGACCGGAGAAATGCAAGAAGCCTTTAATGAACTACGCATAAACTTAACTTCTCCGCCAGTCTTGGCTTACCCAGACTTCGAGAAGCCCTTCGTCGTTGAGACAGATGCGTCATCGGTCTCCGTCGGGGCTGTGTTGGCTCAAAAGAAGGAAGATGGGAAAATACACCCCATCCAGTACGCAAGCCGTACTATGAATACATCTGAGCGCAAGTACTCCGCTTGTGAGCGTGAGGCGCTTGCGGTCATCTTTGCTTTGAAGAAATTTCGTGTTTGCGTGCTTTCGTGTACACCTTTCAAGTTGATTACTGATCACCAGGCTCTTAGTGACGCCTTTCGCAAGAGAGACATCCACGGTCGTGTGGCTCGTTGGCTAGAAATCTTAGCCGAGTACGACTTCACCGTTGAATATCGTCGTGGATCCGCAAATAGTGCAGCCGATTACCTTTCTCGTATTCAACCCAAAGCCGGCGACAACCGAATTTGCCAGGAAGAGGGAGAACTTGCCCTAGCTATCACGACCCCGATCTATTCTCCAGAAGATCTAGAAGAGTCTTGCCAAGATATCATGTCCTATCTGCAAGGCGAAACACCGGTTGGGTTGGATGATTACAGGAAGTCTCGCATGAAGAATAATGCGAAAAAATTTCTTGTCTGGAAGTCGAAGTTGTTCCGCCGCACCATTCATGGTCTTCGTGTTGTTGCCCCAATTTCCGATCGCGAAAAGATACTGAAGGGTTTCCATGACGACATTGGTCATTGGGACTTGAAGACCACTCGTCAATTTGTCACGGAAAGGTACTGGTGGCCGACCGTTTGTATGGACGTGGGAGACTACGTGAAGAGTTGTGACGGGTGTCAGAAGGCACGTCCGATTCCCAGGTATAAGACAACTTTGGGCCTTCCCATCACAAGCTTGTTTGATGTTTTCTCCATTGACTTTGCTGGCCCCTTCCCTGCCACCTCGTCTGGAAATCGCTTCGTGTTGGTTGCGGTCGAACACCTCACACCATGGCCAATTGCCCTATCCACTGCTGGTAGTACTGCTCAAGTGGTTCTTGACTTCGTCAAGAAAGAAATTATGTACTCATTCGGCCCTCCGCGTACCATTGTCTCTGACAATGCTACCAGCTTCACAGCCTCGGCCGTTTCTAGCTTCATGGCTCGGCACGGTATCACTCGGCGCACCGTACTCGCCTACGCTCCCATGTATAACGGTAGAGCAGAGAGAGTGGTTGGAACTTTGAAGGCTGCCGTCCGTAGGACAGTTCTTGGAACTGGAATGGAGTGGGACAAAGCACTCACCCAGGTCCTGTATGGATATCGCCGACGTGCCATGAAGAACGGCGTGTCGCCATTCGAATTAATGTATGGGGTCCCGCCTCGGATGGATTCCAGTGCAGAGACAGGTGCAAGCCTAGTTGTTACTTCCTGAGACCATCATCGTCGTTTGGAGCTCCAGACTGGATCTGTCCCACGAGCGGTTCGCTCGGGGGCCTCTGTGGAAAAGAGGCTCGTAGCGTCGTCGTCTCACTTCTTCGAAGTGGGAGACAAAGTTCTTGTCGCTCGTGGAACATCATTCGGTGGCACGAAATGGCCTGCATTCGTATCAAAGTTCTACGGGCCATGCAGAATCGTAGAAGGACGCCACCCTCGCTACGTGTTAGAGTCGTGTCATGGCCGAATGTCGAGGAAATCTATTCATGCTCGTCGACTCGTACCCTATCGTACAAGGAAAAATGAGCAGGAAACCATGGAATGAAGACGCATATGGATTGTAGCAAAATAGTCAATTGCGTTATTGCTCAAAGCTACGTAACATGTATGGCTCCTTTTATGCATTTAGAAATTAGAAACGACAGCTCGAATGAAAACCCACTGCATGTGACGAAGAAGATACCTGTGGCGGCGTACGACATCTGGGCGTCGCACCCCAGGACCGGAATGCTCAGGATAACTCGTTTCATCTCCTGGGAAAATGTGAACGAAAGCATGCCATCGGAGGCCGAGAACAATCCCTTGGAGAAGCCTGCGTAGAAGAAGGTGCATGTGATGTTTCTTTCGTCGAGAACAACGCCGGAAGCGCTACGGTTGACGAAGAGGACGAGACAGCCGCCGCACCGGGTGAATGCAGAGTGAAGCACAGTTGATTCATGTTTCCATGCCAAATGAGACCGCTTGCAAGAGGCAGACTCGAGGATTAGAACCTCACCTGAGTACTGCCACACAAACAATCAAGTCAAGTATCTATGGCAAGCAAACGCCCGAATCTGCGTCACGCTATGAACGAACTTCGTGCAGTAGTGCTGAAAAAAAGTAGTTAGTATGTGCACTCAAGTTGTGTGAACAATGGATTAAGGTTAGATAAAAATACTTATAGTGAGGCTCCAGGAACACACGTGGCAACGTGGAGCGATTGGGGATTGGTGTCGATGGTGACACTAAATTGTGTCATTTGGATCGTCAAGGTCGAGCGCCGGTTCCCTGACTCATGCCGAGCACCAGGAGCAAAGGAGCGGCCAGCGGCCAGTATATATGTTGCCCCTGCCCGGGTGTGCGGCTGGGGAGGGGGTCGTGTGGGGGAGATTTGGGGTACTGTACAGGGTACAGTACCCGAGAGTGGCCCCAGGACCAAAGCCTTCAAAAGGTGATTTTATTGGTCTACATGTACGCCAGGTGTACACGTGGACAATCTCCCTTTGAAGAGCGGCGGTCCTGGGAAGTGGAAGATGTTGGCGGCCCCTCTATAAGAGAAAGGGGCGCGCCGCGACACCCCGCGACAAGGGGAGAACACAACAACACCCGGACCGACCCCCCCCCCCCTCTTGAAATAAACATCTCGCTTTTCTCTCTCCCCTACGCGCGCAGCCCCCCCTTTTTAGCTGTCAACACCATCACCACCAGTCTGACCTCATTTGGGCAAAGGGAAGTAGTTTTTAAGTTAATTTATGAAAAATGTTACCAAATTATACTTTCGGGGAAGGGTACAACCAAATCAAACTTGCTTTCACGGTGCCCAAGGGACCGGGCACAACATAATAGGTTTTGGCCACCTCAGGGTGTGTCTTAACATGCCCCGTTTTGCTGCGGTTTGCTTTGCCTTGCCCAAAGAAGTGACTTGGCGTGCTATGAGTGGCTCCTACGTTTTAATTTATGTGTTTAAGAAAAGCAAGGGCTTAAGAAGCATACGGTATTTGTTAAGAATTTAAAAGTATTCCTGGCAAAACCGGGCAAGGCAAGCAAAAACTAGCCTGTTAAGACACGCCCTCACTGTTGGTGTGCACGGATGCATGCAAACAGCACCGCACTACAAAACAATATGCCACTCTCTCAAGGTGCCACTCTCTCAAGGAAGGCAGAGAGTGAGAAGGGTACCGTACCTCCTGAGGACGTGCCTGAGCTCCCTGTTGCCACCGCCATTGCGCAGGAAATCGCTCACTTCCACAGAAACTTCAAAAGCTGTCGGCCTTCACCACACGAAACGGGATGACTCGATTTCCATCGTGTATCCTACGTATTCATCGTCAACCCGTGCATATGTCCCATGCATTTCTCATGCTCATGGGACAGGGGCCATAGCATCGCCATGAGACAGTAGCGCGCATCAGGCTGCGTTTTCGCCCCCACTGACGTTTCCTGAAGACAGGTCACGTATTTCTCCCTTTTGCACGCTGCAGAAGATTCCAGACGACGCGGTCAATAAACCGGAATTCTCAAGATTTTTTTCATGTAAGAAAACCAGACAGGCTATCCCCACCACAGGTGCCACCACGTACCGTACAATAGAAACGTCTGTGTCTGGCCGAGAGGACAAGGGAAGTAGAATATACACACCTAGACCTATACACACCTAGACCACTAGCTTCATAATAGCCACCCGGTTGCCGGCCGCTGCAACAAAGACCCCATGATTATCGTCTACCTCCCACCAGGTTACCGTACTCTCCAGCTGCGTCAAAACAGCCTCAGAGCCATCCTCTCGCTCATGCACAATTTTCCCCCCGCTCTCAAAAACTTTGCGCCTTTTGCGCCTATGTCCAGTGCGAGAGACGGCACCCAAGTCCTCTGCATTCAGAAATCTCTCCACGATATCTTGCCAGTCCTCCAACTTTCCGAGATGAACTGTAATCCCTTTCTCTACGTCCCAAACTCGTACGCTCTTGTCCAAGGATCCAGATACTGCACGTTTTCCATCACCACTCATCGCAACGCTCGTCACGCAACCCGCGTGTCCAGTTAATGCGTCGCCGATTTGCAGTCCTGTGTCCACGTCCCAAACTCGTACGCTCTTGTCCAAGGATCCAGATACTGCACGTTTTCCATCACCACTCATCGCAACGCTCCGCACCCTACCCGTGTGTCCAGTTAATGCGTCGCCGATTTGCAGTCCTGTGTCCACGTCCCAAACTCGTACGCTCATGTCCCAGGATCCAGATACTGCACGTTTTCCATCATCACTCATCCCAACGCTCTGCACCCAATGCGTGTGCCCAAATGCCTCGCCGATTTGCAGTCCTGTGTCCACGTCCCAAACTCGTACGCTCTTGTCCCAGGATCCAGATACTGCACGTTTTCCATCACCACTCATCGCAACGTGAGACACCACACTCGTGTGTCCAGTTAATGCGTCGCCGATTCGCAGTCCTGTGTCCACGTCCCAAACTCGTACGCCCTTGTCCAAGGATCCAGATACTGCACGTTTTCCATCACCACTCATCGCAACGCTATACACCCCACCCGTGCGCACCCCACCCGTGTGTCCAGTTAATGCGTCGCCAATTTGCAGTCCCGTATCCACGTCCCAAACTCGTACGCTCTCGTCTTCCGATCCAGATACTGCACGTTTTCCATCACCACTCATCCCAACGCTCCGCACCCAATGCGTGTGCCCAAATACCTCGCTGATTTGCAGTCCTGTGTCCACCTCCCAAACTCGTACGCTCATGTCCCAGGATCCAGATACTGCACGTTTTCCATCACCACTCATCGCAACTCTACGCACCGCAAGCGTATGTCCAGGTAATGCGTCGCCGATCTGCAGTCCTGTGTCCACGTCCCAAACTCGTACGCTCTTGTCCCGGGATCCAGACACTGCACGTTTTCCATCACCACTCATCGCAACGCTATTCACCCAATCCGTGTGTCCAGTTAATGCGTCGCCGATTTGCAGTCCTGTGTCCACGTCCCAAACTCGTACGCTCTCGTCATCCGATCCAGATACTGCACGTTTTCCATCACCACTCATCGCAACGCTACGCACCCGCGATTCATGACCGCAGACACTCCACAACATTTTCTTTTCCGATACACTCCAGAACTGTAGTGTCCCATCACCATATCCGATAACTGCATAGCGTTTGCTCATGCTGACACAACCGCACGTTAATTCTCGGCTCCCCGTTCCAAAATCGTTGTCTAATTTAGTCATCTTCATTTCCTTGTCTGGAGACTGTGCGAAAACTGTGATCCTGGTACGGCGCGAGTTCGAATAGAGTCCATACACGCCACCCGTTGAGTCCATGCCGACTTCGTGAGCGGTAGTCCGAAGCACAATGTGCTGCACCAAACTTCCTCCCGCTCGCCCTACACATTCACTCACAGGCCGCAGCCATGGTCGTGGCGCGTGTTCCTCGATTTCGTCGAGTATCCCTCGCACACTACATAATTCTGATGCCCTGTGCTTGATTCTTCCGTGCAGTTGAAAGTAAATCCCTGCACTGCTTTCACCACAAAAAGGTACACTCAGTCGTGCAGCTCTCATCATCAATTCCATCGCATACACTGAATCTTCTTCTCTGGTATCCCTTAAAAGGCTCTCGCTTCCTCCCGTGTTCCTCAAAAAGCTATTGAGATCCTTTACAGCTTCCTCGTATTGCCGCACACTTCCTCTCTGTATCACTGCCTTCACCCATCGCGCACTCAAGAATAGATTCTTCAGCTCCTCCACATACCCGCCCTGTTTCAGAACGCGATATATATTCTCGAAAACATACTTCTCTCTTGCATCCTTGCTCTCTCTACCCTCGCTCTCAGTCATACCAAGCAGTCCTCTTCCCTGCCGGCATACATCTGCCAACTTCTTATACCAAACCGTTACACTTTCTTCCTTCTGCGCCTCCTGCACCGCAAAATCGTGCGTCAGATCATGCATCCGTATCCACCCACAATCCTTGTCGTAATGAAGGTCTACTAAACCAACCCTTTCCATCTGAATCGCGTACTTTTCAGCCGATTCGTAGTCCATCTCCCACAAATCTCTTACCAACGACAAAGGCATCCGGTCTTGTTTCTTCATAACACACAGACTCCGATGTATCTTTCGAAACGAAAACTGACCTAACCTCTCCGCATCGCTCCCCATGCCGGACTCCACAATCTCTAGTGACGCATGTAATGTCGCGTCTAACGACAACAAATACCCATCCCCTGGACTCTCACTACGAATCGTGTTGCGGCTCTTCATCTTCGAAAGGTATGTCTCCCACGCTTGTGACTTTTCTCCCTCCCATCTATCTCTCATGTACCTGACACCCGTCCCGGCTACGTTCAGAGCCAGCGGCAAACCAGCACACAATTTCAAGATTTTGCTCACGGCCTCTTTGCATCTCGGATCATTCGCTTCCTCCGGGTTCGCCCCGCTCGCGAGCATGAGCATGTGAACTGAATCTCTCCCTTCTCTTTCCCTCGGCTCGAAAGTCACTCGCTTACCGACCTGTTTCAGCTCTGAGTCTCTCGTGGAATACAGAAGTCTGCTCCTCTCTCGGATGTCTCCTGTGGCGGCAGCGAGAGTGGACAACTTCTGAAGAATACACGCATCTATACCATTCACGGCCCACACATCATCAATAATGAACAGGCATACACGTGTGTTGAACCATGCTCGCATCTTGGTCAGTACCCTGCTCAACTCGCTTTGCTCCTGCATTTTCGCAGCCGCCTGGTTGCCACCAGACGCCTCTACGGCTATACACAGTTGCTCAATCAGCCGCCCTACGTTGGCGTCTTTCCCCAAAGACATGAAGTACACTCCGCCTGAAAACCGAGCCTTGATGTCATCGTCGTGCGCAATCGCTCGAAGAGCGCATGTCTTCCCGACTCCGCCCTTCCCCGTTGCCGTCGCTCCTATACTTGTATTCCTATCGGTACTTAGCACGGCCTCCTTTAGCCGCGCCTCACACGTATTCGGTGATCCATCGATCCCCCGAGAATTCAGTTGCAAATATATTTCGTCGGGATTGTGCTCTGCGTGTATACAGGGCGTGAACTTATCAACCGCACATCGTGCGGTGGACGTGACGGCAGCTTGGGTTCCAACTTGGCCACTTGCATTCAAAACTTCTCTCACTTCATCACTTGAATCCTCCTCACATTTCTTTTTCACCCACAGAAATACTTGCTCCACAAGATGTGCCCTTTTACCATGGCCGAATCGATCTCCCGGCAGGTTTGTTGCCCCTACTTCATTTTCAATCCCATTGAATTCTGCCAGCTCGTGTAGCTCCCCCTTCACCGTATCCGTGCTCGCTTCGCGCTGTCGTTCCTCGCTAAAAAACTTCTCAACTTCAAAAATATTATTTCCTGCATCATCCCAGTAGCGATCTGGATCCAACTCTCCGCATTCAGGAATACTTAGTCTGTAAAACACCGGAATCAGTGTCGGTGGTCGCATCCCACTCCCTATCGCCTCAATCCGTCGGCGTAGGAAGCAACGCAGTTCCCTCATCGTCCACTTTCGAGCCGCAAACTCGGGAGAAAGAATGAAAACACCGACCTTCGCAGATTCCATAGCCTTCGTCATTTCATCCTGTTCGTAGTCCCCGGGCTCCATCGACATTCTGTCGAGGAAGCAATTTAAACCATGAGCTTGCAATTTCTCAGAAAGGGGACGTGCGATGTGTAGCTTGTCCGGGCCAGCATGGCTTATGAACACATCGGGAGACTGTATCTTTCGCCGTTTTCTACTTGGTCCCGTCTCTTGCGGGAAGCTTTCCGGCATTTTTTTGTGAATAGCTAAAGACAAGTTGGTGAGGAGCGGAGTGTGTTTCGCGTGAGAACGGCACCGGCTGTTAGAGAAACAGGGATGCCAAGGTTGAAGGCCGCGTTCAGCGCGCGGCACTCTTGTCGTTGTCGACGAAAGCGGAAACAGTGGCGACGGTCGTGTGGATCAGTAGGTTGAGCTGATGTGCTTTCGCTTGTTCTTTCGTAAATGAATGTGTTGGTCGGGAACTGGGGGGGGGGGAGGGGGTTTCTGGGTGGTCCCCGTCGCGGCTTTCTCCGCAGCCTCCAAAAACTTTTATTTCCCTCGGCGAGCGCTTCCAGAAACGTCCAAGCGTCAACCCTAAAAATCCATAAAATCTACCACATCAACAATTTGATATATTTTGGCAATTGCCCCACTCAGAGCATCCCCACCGGTAGAATCAAACACCCAAACAACTAAAATTTGATGATTTGATGTCGATTGAAACCCCCACCGGTGCAACCAAATCATCAAATTTTTGGTGTCGATCTAAAAATCGAAATCAAATATCAGGAATTTGGTTCGGGTAGTCTCTGTTTGATTACTCTTGACAATCCAGTTTGCACGTTCTATTGGTCGACCGAAACGGCTTCCCACCAAAAAGTGCATCGATGCGGTATTTGCCTCGAGATTACCAGTGTCTCCCGCCGATCCAGAATGCTCACTACGGCGTGCATGCTCTTCCCCCTTCCATCCCTCCAGAACGTCGACGGCCCCGCCATCCCTGAGCGCGTCCTTCCCCGCCCGGCTCTTACACAACAACAACACTTCCTCGACCAACCAGGCGCGAATCTCCGCCATCTCCTCCCGTCCCACCTCCTTTGACCTCCCCAAGCACATTGCGACCGCCGCTGTACCCCCACCAACACATCATGGCACTCGTCCGCCATCGCGCAGTTCCGCGCCCAGCTCGCCCCCGCCAGCCTCTTCTCTGCCTCCCCCGCCTCCAGCAATCTTAGCAACCTCGTCAACAGCTGTCTCTCCGCCTGCCTTCCCTCGACCAACAGGACGTCCCTCCCCTCCTGGCTCGCGCACGCATTTGACAGCCGCAGCACATTCGGAATACTCGGTACCCTCTCCACGAGCACGAGTAGCGTGCCCCTCTCCCGAAACCCGTCCGCACCCTCCGCTTCGTCCACGCCCGGCGCGAAGCGCGTCAGGTTGGACAGCAGCGCCGCGTGCAGCGCGACGACGTCCGCGTCCAGGACCACCTGCGCTGCGAGCCGCACCGCGTCCGCGTACGTCAAGGCCGCCGCCTCCTCGTCCTCCGACAGGTTCACAAGCGCAGACAGTGCTAGCGCAGTGCGATTCGCTGCTCAGCAGCAGCAGCAGCCGCAGGAGAACGTCGCTCGCGGCTGTCGAGCCAATCATCCGCCGCAGCACCGCTGCCGCCGGTGCGTATGTCCTCTCCGGGATCGCGCTGCTCGCGGTCGCGTGGGGAGCGCGTGCTGTCCGTGAGCAGGGAGGACAGCGCCGGCAGTCTGTCTTTGTCCACGGTGGAGGTGAGAGGGAAGGAGTGCAGACAGAGTGGCGAGGGAGAAGGTCGCGGGATGGGTTTCGAGTGAGCGTGCGACTACGACTGAGGGTGCGATACGAGGGTGAGTACGAGTGTGAGTACAAGGCTGCGATGGTGAGTACGAGGGGAATGTACTTCATTTGGTTCTCACCGGTGTGGCAGTTCTTTCCGAAGCATCAAACAGCCAAATAACGAAACAACCAAATTCTAGGGAGCCAATCAAATTACAGAAAAAGTGTGCCAAGTGTTGTTATTTGATGATTTGATTGCGTACCGGTGGGGATGCTCTCACAGAATAGAGAAAAGTCGCAAAGACGCGGGCACTGATGAATCGTAATCCTCATGGGGGTCGTCTTTACTCGTCGTCGCCGTCTCGTGGGTCTAAGTACCGCTGGTGACAGACTGTAATGCTGACAGTCTGTCCTTGCTGTCCGTCACGCGCGTACCTGTCAGCGTCTGATGAAGAGAGTTGCGGTCCGTCAGTCCCGGGGGACGCTGAGGGGTGCGCGTGAAGGTTGTGCCGGGGTGCGCCTTCGGGTCGGGGCTGGGGGGTTCAGTTGGTTGGATGATTTTGCAGATTTCTTGAAAGCGGATGGGTCCGAGCGCTTTTGTGAATAGGTCTGCTGAGTTGCCCGCGGATGGTATGTGTTGCGCGGTGAGAGCAGCGCCTTGGATGTGATGTTGAAGGTGATGGTGCCTGACATCGATGAGCTTCCTTATGCGCGTGGGGGCGGAATATTCCGCGACTTGTATGGTCGATTGGTTGTCGATGAATATTGTCGTGGGGTGCTGTTGTGGGTGCTTCATGTCCCGAAGCAGCCGACGAAGCCATAGCGCCTGCTGGGCGGCGAGCGAGGCTGCTATGTATTCAGCCTCGCAGGTTGACAGGGCTACGACGTCTTGTGGCGCCGATGTCCAGGCTATCGGGGAGTGTGCATGATTCCTGTGAGCGACTTGCGGCTTTTGGCATTTGCATAATCTGCGTCACTGTATGTGCGCAGACATACCGGGGCTCGAGCGTGATACGAGATGGCCTTGCTCTTGGTGCCCTTGACGTACCGGAGGAGCCATTTGAGCGCATGCCAATTTCCATGGCTCGGTTGCTTGCTGTGTCGCGTCAGCTGGTTGGTTGTGTGGTATGCCTCGTAGCGAGTGCTATCGACGACATACCGGAGATCTCCTAGAATGGAGCGGTAGTGGGTGGCAAGCGTGGGGGATAGGGGCGCCATTTGGTTCTCTACGTTCTTGTTTGGCTTTAGCGGCGCGGGGGTTGTTTTTGAATTGCATTCCGACATGTTGTGTTTTGCAAGTATCGTGCTTATGGTCTGTTCTTGCGAGATGTGGATGCTTCCTTGTGCGTCCCGTGTGATTTGCCATCCGAGGTACGAATGGGGGAAACCGAGATTTTTGATGTTGTACTTTTGCTTGAGGGCGGTGAGTAGTTCATCGATGAGTTCTTGGTTTGAAGCGGTGACGAGGAAGTCGTCCATGCTTACAGTGAACAGCAGTGTGCCCGTTGTGTGTGTTTTGGTGAACAGACATGGGTCGCTGTCGCATTTCTGATAGCCTTGCGTGATGAGATGTTTCTGGAGCTCGGTGGTGTAACGGTGGCCGGCGGATCGGCCCCCATATAGGTTGCCTACTAGTTGTCCCGCTTTGGTGCCGTGCTTGAGGTTTCCGCCGAATCGGGGGTGCTGTCGCACATGGACGCGGAAGCGGGGGTCATGTGTCTCGTGTAGGTAGGCTGCCGTGATGTCCATGTACTGTGGAGGCCATCTGTGTGATGCGGCGAGTGCTAGGATTGTGCGCACTGACGTTTTCTCTGACATAAACGTGGACGTTTGTTTAGGGTCGAAGTGTTTGCCTGGCTGCATGCGGTCGCCTCGGATGGAACAGCGTGCCTTTCGTTTTGCTATTTTTCCTGTTGGTGTGCGTTTGTATCTGTACGTCATCGTGAGGGGTATGAGTTTTTCGTGCGGGGGCACGTCTGTTTGCGGTATCCATTTGATCGTGGTCTGTTGGTCCAGCATGTCTAATTCAGCGTTGTGTGCGGTCTCCCATTCTGCCGCGTCCGGGTACTGCCGTGCTGCGTGGACATGGTGTGGTGCCGGTGTGGTTTGGTCGATGGTGCGTGGTGGTGGCATGTATCGGTGCTTGTTGGTGCTTTGTGATCGGGGTTTGGGTCTTGTCAGTTTGGTTTTGAATACGTGCGTTGACGTGTGTGTGGGATCCCGGTGTCGTGAGTATGGTTTGAAGTCGATCGCTCAGATGACCCTGTATCGCGCACTGTTTATCGTGATGGTCATGATGTGCGTTTCCGACGTTGGGAACATGTATCGGACGGGTTCGCTGCGAGCCTGGAGTTTGGTTTTGTGCGCGTGAATTGGTGCCGTTCCGATTTGCCCGAAGGCGAAGATGCGTGTCATGCGCGCTGGTCTGCCGTGCCAGGGGTGCCACGGGCTTTTATTGGTGGCACTGTGTCTCATTATGTTGTACTTGAAGACAACATCGCGTACTGCGTCCTCCCAAAATTGGGGTGGTAGTGACGCGTGATGGAGTGCTGCTCTTGCCCTTGTGAACAGCGTTTTGTTGATTCTTTCGGCAATAGAATTTTCTTGTGGCTGGTGGGGGGTGTTGGTAATGTGCTGTATGCCGTGAGATTGATATGTGGTTTTTGCGTGCGTCGATGTGAATTCTTTAGCGTTGTCTGTCCTGTACGCTTGGGGGAGTTTGTTTTGTAGGGACAACGTGTGGAACAGCTGCGGTATTATGGCGTTTACTTCTTGTCTCTTGCGAATGTAGTAGGTGACAAGGTATCTGCTGGCCGTGTCTATGCAGGTGAATATGTGTGCATTGCCGTGTGTTGACGGGGGTGTGATGGGGCCGCATGTGTCTGACCTTAGTTGCTCGGCGATTTGTTGTGAGTGGTGTGCGGTTGGGTGTGGCCGGGGGGATTGTCGAGCGTGGGCACATGAGGAACAGCTGATGGGTGGAGGAGCGCCTTGGAGGCTGGCTGGGTGGTTGGCGATGGTTCCTTCCTGTGCCATGCGTTGAAGCGCTTTTGGCGGGGAGTGATTGAGGGCGAGGTGCCACTGGTACGCGGTTGCTGTGGTTTTTGTCAGTTGTTTGGGTGTGTGTGGATTGGGGTCGTGGAAGTGTTGTATGTTTGGCGATCGGGTTCTGGTAGGTGTGCGAGTTGGCAATAGGTGTACTGATCTTGTCGCTGATTGGGGTGGGATGGCCTGTGCTGTGGCCGTTGGTGGCTTGGTCGTCGTGCGCTTGTTGGCTCGTATTGGCATGGTGCGTGCACTTTTGGCTGTGTGTCGGGTGGTGCGTTTGTGGGGTGACCATGCGTAGGCGTGCAGTGTTTTATGCCATGGAGCCGTGCCGATGACTTTGTTTTGTCTGTCCCTGATGTGTGCCATATTTCTGTCAAATGTGACCGTGCATTTTAGTGATG